GGTTGGAACTAATGGGAGCTCTTTTATTCGCTAAACTGGGCACCAGCATCACTAAAGTCTTGAAGTTACAACTTTCTTGTTTTTTCTGGACTGATTCAAAAATCACACTTTTCTGGATAAAAGACTGTGCAAAGAAATTTAAGCTTTTCGTTAAAAAGCGTATTCAGGAAATACAAAATTTCACATCCCCCCAAAATTGCATTATTGCCCCGGTAAATGTAATTCCGCTGATTTGGCTTCGAGAGGAGCTAAACTTCCAGAGCTGAAAAACAATCCTATCTGGTTTCAAGGACCAGAATGGCTTAGAATGTCATCTGAATTGTGGCCTCGACAGAATGAAGAGAAACCTGTCACTGAAGAAGAATTAGAATACCGTAAGAATATTGATGATATTTATGAATTTGTGTGCACAGCAGTTAAAGAAAGGCTTATAGACATCTCAAAATATAGTAATTTAAGAAAATTGTTGTTGAAAATAACTGATTGGATAAAGCGATTCATTGGTAAAATTAGGAAAACTAACCATTTGACAGGTCCACTAACGACTGAAGAAATAGTAGATGCCGAAAATTATTGGATTCGATCTGAACAAGAACGTTTTTATCCCAAAGAAATCGAGTCTCTGAAGAGAGCGAATAAAGTCGAAAAGAAATCATCTTTATATCTTTTTAACCCATTTTAGACCAGAACGGGGATACTGAGAGCAGGTGGAAGATTAGAACATTCTAGTTGTCACATGATGAAAAACATCCGGCAATTCTTTCAAGAGACTCCTGGCTAACGAATTTGATAGTAGAAAGTGCACATGTTTAAAATGATGCATGGAGGAGTAGCAATGACCTTAGCTGAAATTCGAAGTCGCTTTTGGATCCAAAAGGACGTCAATTGGTCAAGAAAATAATAAACAAGTGTCTTATTTGTAAAAGATATTCATTGAAGTCTGCTGAACAGACCACTTCTCAACTTCCAGAAGACAGAATCAATGAGACACCACCATTCTACGTGTCTGGCATCGATTTTGCTGGGCCGATTTACGTAAAAAACATTGAAGGAAGTCAAAAAGCCTATGTAACATTATTTACATGCGCTATCACTAGAGCCATACATCTGGAACTTGTACCGAATCTCTCTACAGATTCTTTCTTGATGGCATTCAAAAGGTTCACATCTAGGAGAGGCAATTGTCGAGTAATTTATTCGGACAACGCGAAAAATTTTAAAAAGGGAAAAAATGAACTCGAACATTTCTCTAAACTATTGTCGAATGAGAAATTCCAATATTTTCTGCCGAATGAAAGAATCAGTTGGAAGTTTATAATAGAACGAGGGGCTTGGTGGGGAGGCTTCTACGAGAGATTAGTAAAATCAGTGAAAGAGTGCTTAAGAAAAATTCTAGGTAAAGCTTTACTAACGTTTGAAGAATTGTCAACGGTTTTAGCACAAGTGGAAGTTGTTTTGAATTCTCGTCCTTTGACATATGTGTACAATGACCACAAGGAACCGTTGCCACTGAAGCCAGTCAATTTTTTGATTTTTGGAAACAAGGATTCTACATTACCTATTAACTTTAATTCCATTGTTAAAGATTTCTCTACCAAGTCCTCTCTGACCAAAAGAAAGATTTATTGGTTAGGCAATTGTGGACTAAATCGAAAAAACAATATTTGATGGATCTTCGGGCAGCTCATCAATTAAAAAATCCTAACGTTTATCATGATCTAAAAGTTGATGATCTTGTATTAATCGAAGGTAACGACAAGTGTAAACTTTTGTGGAATTGTGGTAGAGTGATAAACGTTTTTCGTGGTCGTGATAACAAAGTTCGTTCTTGTGAACTAAAAACTGCTGATGGAACAATAATAAAACGACCAGTTCAATTATTACATCCTTTGGAACTTTAAAAACATTTTTTCTTGTTTAATAATATGAATATGATTGTTTAAGTTTTATGCAATTGTTCATTTTGCTAATTTAGTTTCATATGCTTAGATTAAGAATAGTTTAGATTTACTGAAGTAGTGTCAAATTGTATTTGATGATAACATACCTTTTTTAGAATTTAGTATAGTGATTATAGTTTGAATATATTTTTATTCATTTAATATACTTATTAATTGTTTATAATTATATGTTAAAAATACTTATTGATATAAATTTGATTGTTGTTAGATTAATGTGAACTCTTGACAGAGTTCAGGTGAGGAGTGTGTGGAAATTGTTTTGATTAATTGATAGATGGCGCTAGCGTTGCGTGTTAACGCGACGCGACGTGCCTTCTGAATTTCGATAGACTCTCTACCGGCAGCTCGATAGATGGATGTCTGATGGTTCGCACACTATTTGATTAGGAACACTTCTGTTCCTATTTAAAAGATTTCGATTTTCGATTATGAAATCATATAGATTTATTTGTCAATTGAACCACCATGTTTGATTAATTATCTGTAATTTTTGTAGATATTAAAAGTTACATTTTAAAGTGATTGTTGTCGATTTATAGATCTTAGAATCTTTTGAAACCCGCTAAGTCTTTCTGCACCGATGGGCGAAAAATCAAGCTTGGGTGCGAAAGAAAGGTATATAGAAAGGGGGGCAATTTCGCATTTGAGAGGAGAGTAAAAAGGAACTTCGTACATTTTGTACGAGTTCGAAAGACCAGGAAGAAAAGACGGGACAAAATAAAATTTAAAATAAATGGTTCCAAAAATAATAGAGGGAAAAAAAGGGCTATAGAAAGAAAAGGAAAAGAAGTAAAAAATATCCTAAAATACAGTTGTGTTCATGAGTGTAGTTAAAAGGAGAAGCTGTTTTCATTTACAATAAATAATGTCTCACAGGTGCGTGTGTGTGTAGTGAGTGTTTTTGGTAATGCTGAATAGATGTGATACTGGGGGGGGAAGGGTGACAGTCTTAAAATGCATCGTATCAAGGTATTTAGCATGGAATACAAAGTAATATGTATGCTTGCATCCTGAGACACAACAGCAAAAGACCCATAACATCAGACAAAAGTATATATTAATTTAACTAAAGTAACTTATGTTATTTTCGTTCCCAACATTTTCATACATTTTTCAAAAAACAGCAGCAGACAAAGAACATAGAGCCTATACACAATACAAGACCACAACCGCACACACGTGTGTGTGTGTAAATTACAGAGTATATGTATTAAAAACTTAAATAAAACTTAGTATGTTTTAATTTAACTGTCATAATTTATTACAAGTTTAATTATTTTACTATCATAATTTATTATTAGTTAATTAATGCTAGTTCAACACAATGAGGCACACTGTTATTTATATAAGCTTCTACTTCTAAAAATTTATTTAAGGCAGTGAAGAATATTCCATCCCTTACATATGGACATTTAACAGATAGCAAGGAACAGTATGAGAAAAAAAAGTTGGTGAGGTATAATATTATGTAAAGGAGAAAATATATTTACGCAATCTAAGAAAAAGGGAAACCAAAAGGTCAGAGAGGGAAGTAGCGCGATGCCCGAAATCCCCAATTTTCCCTCTCACGAGATTCCTCGAAACAAGATAAGGGGGGGGGCTTGAGCCTTATGTAGGTGGTGACAGACGTGAACTAATAACGTTGGCGTCTGTTTGCAATGGTAACCACAAAGAAAGCCACAAGCAATGAGCATTTTCAAGTATTGTTTAATGCTAAAAACTGATGAAAAATTAAAATTTATTGATTTAAAAGCACTTATTTATAGAAATTTGATTTAGTTTAGATGAAAAAAGGGTACTTATCTTAAACTTCCAGGCTTTTGTAGTATATCCTCATTCTCATCAACATCGGAGCTGAAAAACTTTGGATAAGGTGTAGGTTTTGTACATCTGTCTACTTTGTCTGTCTGTCAGAAGCTAGATTTGGCAAATACAGTCAACTGGTTGGACTTCACCATAATATTTCTATCAGACAGGTTGATAAAATAGACAATAAATTTATTTAGTCTTTGCTAATATCTGGTACTCGTAGTTTCTCTCTGAGTAGTCTCTTTGCTGAATATGGATTGTGCTAACGTTTCCAGATAAAGCCAAAGACAAAATAAAGATGAATTTACTAATTCAGAAGTCAAACAACAAAAATCAGAGTTTATATTTACAAAATTTTCACAGGACTAGTTTCGATGGTTTTATCGAACCACCATCCTCAGCTGCAAAACCGGAAAAAAAAAATATTCCACACACTTTTTTTTCCCCCGGCTTTGCAGCTGAGGATGGTGGTTCGAAAAACCATCGAAACTAGTCCTGTGAAAATTTTGTAAATATAACGGTGATTTTTGTTGTTTGACTTCTGAATTAGTATTTAATCGGCGTGTTATTGTGTCTTATTAAAGATGAATTTGTTGAAGAAAACACGACAAGATAGAAAATTAACTAAATGTTCAAAGGAAATGCAAAATGAGAATATGATTGCGAGTAAATAATATAATGAAACAGAAAATAAAGCGAACAAAACTCCTGAAAACGGAATCTGGGGAAAAAATTTTAATTTTCAAGAACAACTAGAGAGCAAAAGAGTTTGTAAATATAATAGGAGTTATTGGGGAAAACTTTCTTTGTTTTCAAAATAAAATGACTAGTAGCAATAAATTTATTAATAGGCAATAAAAATATTGTCTAGAAAATACAATTTTGAAGGGGAGTTCTTTGGGAGACTCTCAAATCTCGACTTGTGGGGGGAGGGCGAAATTACTTAACCGGCTTTGTCAATTAAAATTTAGGGAAATGAATGAAATGAGTACATTTCGAGCCTGTAAACTAAGAAATATGTACCTTTTACTTTCAGTCAAATGAGGGATAGGCAATTAAGAGCATAGTAACAAGCAGGACCATAGCGCATCACGCTTTTGTAGCAGATTCCTCTAGATCAGCAAATCGGTACTTAGACATTTTTACAAATTCACGTGGTGGGAGCGCCATCTAGCAGCCAGAATGGTATATTCTGTAATGTTTTCGTTGTGAACTGGGAAATGAGAGTACCTCTCGACTTTTGACGATCCGTGAATAATTTTTTTTTTTTTTTTTTTGTTTTTAATTAGTGACTGATTTTTTGTTAGGGCTGTTTAAAATGTGTTTTTGTAAATATTTCGTTAGACGCGAGTTGCATTAACTTCCGCTGAGCCTTGCTTTTCAGTTAATGATTTTAAATGAATGAAAGAGAAAAGTTATGATTTGTTTAAAAGCATTCATCAGAATTTTATGGATAAATATATTTAAAGTCATGTGAACAGAGTATGTGCATTAATTGATAGATAGCTAAAGAACGGGGTAAGCGCATTAAAAAAGAACTATATATGTGTACATACCTGTGTGATGGATGTATATATATGATGAATGTGCATGTGTTTTACTTTATATATAAAAGTGACTTGCCAGTTATTTGTCGTGTGTTTTCTAAGCTTTTCATGTACAGAAGTTTTCAAAAGATATTTATTGTGAGATTGCATTATGTAGAAAATTCAGAACTCGGTAGTCGGTTAGTTTTCCAGAAAGGGACAAAAATGCAAAGTATTCTCCGTCTACCACTCTTTATTTGCAAAAACGAGAAGTTTTCAGATGATATATATATACATGTATGGTACGACCCGTAAGACAGAACAATACCTTTACGTGGTCTACACATTTCAGTAAAATCAGAGGCAAACTCTCTGGAATTATTACTAGAATATTCTCACTCCTTTTCAATCTCATCTACGCTCTGGTTAGCTCGAAAGAGAAGAATTTGCATATGTTTGTATTGCCATAATTAGTGCCGATGTATTCATATGTATTGTAGTGCCATTGAATATGATAGTTTGGTTATATTTGAGATTAGTAATAAATTTCAACAAATTTCATTTCTTCTGCTACATTTATAACTGCTTAATTCAATATATATAGTTCTTGCATAATGTATATAAGTAGAATGTCATTAATTTGAAATAACCTATCCATGGTAGGAAAATGCAGTAACATTGTAAAAAACTATTTTGATAGGATGAATGGTATTATTTCCTGAGGACATTAAAAAAAATTGCAAAAAAAAGGATTCTTTTTTTCTCTCTATCTTTCATTTGAGAGAATGTGAATGACTGCTATGATAGATGAAAGCTAATTTGACAGAGGAAATATAATTGAGGGAACTGAATGAAAATAGGTTGGGGGGGGGTAAGTGCATATGTGTTTTCATGGCTATATGTACAGCAACATAGTGATACACATTTAGCCAAGCACATTCAGTAAAATAAATGTGAGATTTCATTTTAACATTTGTTATTTGGTGAGCAATGTGTAAATGAGATAAGGTATTGCCTAAGAGTGTAACAACAAATTGTGGTGTGCTATTCTTTTTGTCACATTCACTTTTTGAATAAAAATGACAATGAAAAGCAGCAAAACACTTTAAAGTTAATTTAAAAAAAATAGGTAAATTGCTATAATCAGTTGCTGAATTATGTTATTTTTGTGGCATGCATTTTTTATATATTTTATTGCATTAACAGGTAGCTTTTTTCCTAGATGTAGTATTTCTTTTGCATGTAGCTCCTCAGTCGTAAAACTGCGAAATGCTTCAAGTTCTGATGTAGCTTTATTTCTCAGAAACAGAACTGAGTGGCTGCTATTCCCCCTTTTCCTCTTTATGTACTAATTCAGAAGTCAAACAACAAAAATCAGCGTTATATTTACAAAATTTTCACAGGACTAGTTTCGATGGTTTTACCAAACCACCATCCTCAGCTGCAAAACCGCAAATGAACAAGGTAGGAAATAATGATTAAATAAGAATAAGAAAGCCTGGACAAGAATAATTATGTAGTTTAAAATGTATCTCTTTATGTAGTTAAAAAATGAGCTGGTTTCCTTTTAGAAATGTCTTAGGTGTATTTTCTTAATAACTTTGATAGCATGCAAATGATTTTATTTTGTATTTCCCTTCTAGCATATTCTTTGTCGTTACATTTGGACGTCATTTCTTCTCGCAAGGTGTACTTACTTCTCAACACTATTAACATTCACAATGAAAAAGTTTTTTTTTTTTTTTTTAAATTCCCTTTTTTTCCTCTTTATATATATATATATATGTGTGTGTGTGTGTGTAAGTGCAGTAGAATTTTGATTATTTGAGGTAATTAAGATCATAGCCACCTTGGATAATCAAGAATTGAATTGATAAAGTGTAAATCCTGCTGATTTTGCAGTTTTAGTGGCAAAAGTATTTAGGAAAAAATTAAATAAAAATACTCATCAAAACTTACACAAACTGTGAAATTTTGTCAGATTTCTGTCACGCATTTTTATGAGATGTTAATCTTTTTTTAAAGTGCTTCTCTTTTTTTTGTGATACATCTATACATCATGCTATGGCTGATCTACACCTCTAACAGCCATAGCATGGTAACACTAATTCTTGATGAACAAAATATCCATAGGAGAAGCATTAGGATATCACACTAAATAAAAGAGCTTTGCTCAAGGCTTAGACTAGTAGCCAAGTGTTAAAACTGCTAAACACTGGTAGTTCGACCCTAGTAAATGGGCTGGTTGCATGTAAATTTTCATTACTTTTGTAATATGCAACACGAATATCAGGCAGTTTTTTTTTTTTAAAGTTCCTCCATAAAGGTATCCTTTCCTTTAGGCAGGTAATTACATATTAAAATAAATCATACAACCAAATTAAACCACAAATAAAATAACACATGCCTAATTTTCATAATAATCCTTGGCATCATTGCAGTTTGTTTGCAATAGCTTATTTTTAGAATTTCAAGTGCAAAATTTCATAAAATCTTGTCAAAAAAAAAAAAAAAAAAAAAAAAAAAAAAAAAAAAACTAGTGTGATTTAAACTTAATCAATTCAGCGTTTGATTATTTGAGGTGGTTATGGTCCTAATTATCACAAACAATAATGATTTTTCTCCATATATATATATATATATATATCATAAGCTTATGATCTAACTTCTACCAAAGTAACTAATTTAATCCATATTTGAAAAAAGGGCAAAACATTTAATTTGGTTATTGTTAATTGATAATAGATTGGGTTCTTTCCCTAGACAAGTCAATTAATCTGCAATCAATGACAATAGCTACTTTTTCAGTACTTTTAATTTTAACATTTAGTATTCTTACAGTTAAATTTTTTTTTCTATATAGATTTTAAATAATTTTTACTACAGTAGAAAACTAAATAACTTTATATACTGACTTAAAACACTACTTAAAATTTTCTCGAATAATTCATAGCTTTAATTAAATTTCTATTTATTGGAGATGATATATAAAAACCTTTTCTAATAATAAATTATATCTGTCTATATATACAGAAGTGCCACTGAATTAGGGATAGACATGGCTCTGCAAATTTTATAGCACTACATTTATGCTCACATGAGGGCATTGTGGTAACTGTATGTTTAGCTAGTACTATGGTTGTTGTTAATCAGTCGTTTCAGTTGCCAGTATGGGTAAAGTTTCTTATTTAGACACTTTCGATCGAGGACAAATAGTAAACGTTCAATGCATGGGCCATTCAATTTCCGAAATCGTCGTAGGGCTAGGATTTTCGAAGTCGACAATGTCAAGAGTATACTGAGAGTACATGGATAGTGGGAAGAGGAACTAGTGTTTGGGAAAATTGCAAAGGACAATTAGCCTCGGACGCGTGTGGTGCAAGATAGCTCATTTGTATTGCATATAGCCAAAGAAGCCAAACATGAGCTCATATTACCAACCAGCTGAATCAGTGCACCAGTCGTATAGTCAGTAAACAAATCGTGCAATGCTCGCTTCACTTTATGTGCTTCGGAAGCCGTAAACCCACGAGAGTTCCATTGCTCAATCATGGCATATCTCAATGCATGGCATACACAGTTTCACGTCTTGTCTGGGCAAGAGAACACAGAGAATGGATTCTAGAGCATTAGAAACAAATAGCATGACGTGATGAATCTCTATTCTGACTGCTTAATCCTAGCAGGAGGTAGAGAACATGGCGTCAGGATCATAAAGCCATGGATCCTGTGTGATTGGTTAGAACTGTACAAGGCTATGGCGGCTAAATCATGGTCTGTGGTGTTTTCTTTTAGCAGTGTGTGGGACCTTTGATATTTGCACCAACCTCCCTGAATATCATTTGGCACGTATAATTCCTGGGCGATCATGTCTGTCCATTTATGTTGACCTGTCATTTACATGGGAATGGAGTATTCCAGCATGAACCCCTCACAGGTCCCAGTTGGTTTTATTACCTGGCTCGATGCACATTCCTGTATCTTCTATGTTAACTTTCAGATATTTTAGAGAAGGTGTGAAACCACATCACGCAACACTAGCGATCCTTCATCAGTTATGGACAGCTCTGTTCGAAGTCTGGCAAGCCATTCCCGTAGAATGCTTCCGCAAACTTATTGAATCTATGCCTTGTCGTGTGGCAGCCATTACCAAGACCAGAGGAGTGATGACTTGCTAACCCCAATTCAGTGGCATTTCAGTGTAGATAAAGAAAGAAACAAAAAAAGTATTACTTTTTTTTTTTTTTTTTTTTTTACCTACCGTAGTGGATGTTAATAGTATTAAGAAGTAACTACATCTTGTGAGAAGAAATGACTTATGAATTTATTTACAAAGAATACGTTTGGAAGAGAAAAGCAAAAGAAAATCATCTGAACACTCTCAAAGTCATTGAGAAAAATATGCCTTAAACCAAAAGCACTGAAACATTTCTGAAAGGAAAATAGCTCACTGCAGATTTTGTTGCTGTATGCCTGAAATAATTTCTTTGTCACGTAAGACTTGAAAGTAGGTTCTCTGTTGTATATACATTCATTCAGTACAAAATGTCATCCTTTTGAAAGTGTTTTTAAATTCATTGTTGGTTTCCTCTTTAACACATATAAACAGCATTTTTCAATCATAATGCTCACTAGATTTTTATTATTATTATTATTTTTTATCATAAAGTAAGGCTATTAAATGACTGAGAAAGGCCAAACGATCAATTCCTGACGAGAGAATTTGCAAACGTTATTGATTTTCATCATAATATTTTGAATATTATGATGTTTTCGTAATGATTTCTTTAAACTGATTGCCAGCCTTGTAACTAAAGATCTCAGTTAATAGTTATTTTACTGTACATATATGAAGAGATACAAAGACATACACACATTAAAAGTTCACTTAAAATGATTTTATCCAGGTCCATTGAAACCATGAACAGAGTTTTAAAAATCATTTTCACTTTGTGTAACTATATACCTAAAAAATCATGGTTAATTTTATCA